TTAGTAGAGACAAGGTTTCACCGTGTCAGCCAGGATGGTCTCGATCTCCTGACCTCGTGATCCGCCCGTCTCGGCCTCCCAAAGTGCTGGGATTATAGGCGTGAGCCACCGCGCCAGGCCAGTTGGGGACGTCTTAACACACACATCTGAAATAAGACTGGCTCATACAGAACAAGAGACGGGAAGCTTTGTGTGGTGCCAGGACTGTTTGGAAGAGCGGAGTTGAAAGATCAAACACGGACTTGGGTCTGGCTTTTGTGATGAGGTGCACCCAGTGGGAAGGCCCAGCTGGCGAGGGAGAAGTTGGTACCCAAAGATATGGGCTGAACCGGCTTCTTTCCTTCAGTAGAAGCAAGGACCCAGGGAAGGGAGCGTGTGGTGGGAAGGTACGGTGGCCCGTGCTTGCCAGAGGAGTTTGCACATGACATGGTTTAATTTTAGAGGATTTTAGAGGTCTGCCACAATGATGGTGCCTTTTGTGCGTAGCCTCGCCTGGCTGGGCTGTGGAGGATGGATGGATGAGAACTTTGATCGGGGATTTTGAAGATGAGTTTTATATTGAATGCTGTATCCTTTTAGATAGAGGCTGTTGGGTGGGAGGAACATTAATATATATATTTTTAAATTGAGGGTGGGCTAGTCGAATACTTTTTGGGCCTTAAAACACTTTGTAGCATCCTTTTTACACCAGTGACTGTTGCCTTTATTCTATAATGCATGAGCAAAAGTGTGGTTTGAATTTAATGGTATGACTTTTTAGGGGCTTATGTAGGAGCAATATTATCCTTTTGCAAAATAGGAACAACTTTATGTCAGGATAAACATGGGATTTCAGACATTTCTTGCTTATCATTGTCAGTTTTAAGGATTTCTTCTAACATAGGACATTTTTTTGTCTACTGTGATTGTAATGTCATCTATTGGTTTAATATCAACATTGCAATATGATAATTTTTTGTTAATTTGGTTTCCCAAGGATATTTAGTCCATGTGCAATTGAATCATAGTTAGAAAAATAAAAAGAATCTAGTAGTGGAAATAAAAGATAGTATTGAAGTGTCGATCAGAATGCTGTTAACAATGTCTTCTCATGTCAGTTACGGTCATCTGGTGTCGTGGGTAGTTATGAATTTCTCCTCCTTAAACTATTGACCCTTTATGTTTGTCTGAAAGAAAAGGCCACTTCTGTGGGTATCAGAGAGGATGATCAGGCAGCGACTGAACGTATTTCAGTATTAAAAACAACAACATTAAAACAAGCCAACACGACTCGCATGGTCACTTCTATCTTTACTATTACTAATATATTTCCCCTTTTTCATCACAGCTTTTTATAACTATGATGCCAGAGGAGCAGATGAACTTTCTTTACAGATCGGAGACACTGTGCACATCTTAGAAACATATGAAGGTGCGTATGCCTCTTGGTATCTTTTCTCGTACTTGTTTGGGTAGATGGCACACCTTCTCAGTGCCTGCTAGGCAAAGCATTCCTCTGTTACATAGACAGTCATGCTCCCTTCTCAGGCTCACTTTTCTTGCAAATGGATCCTGTTTCACGTAAGGGTAGTAGTGAGGCTGTCTGTTGTTTAATACTTTATTAAGGTGAACTTAAAACTGAAATTCCCATTTTTAAACTCATTGGCTCCTTATTCTGCAAGCACGTGTAAATCTTTTTTTTTTTTTTTTTTTTTTCTTTTGAGACAGAGTCTTGCTGGAGTGCACTCACCCAGGCTGGAGTGTCATGGTGTAATCTCAGCTCACTGCAGCCTCTGCCTCCCAGGTACAAGTGACTCTTGTGCCTTAGCCTCCCAAGTAGCTGGGACTACAGCTGCCTGTCACCATGCCTGGCTAATTTTTTTGTATTTTTAGTAGAGACTGCATTTCACCATGTTGTTCAGGCTGGTCTTGAACTCCTGACCTCAAATGATCTGCCTGCCTCAGCCTCCCAAAGTACTGGGATTACAGGTGTGGTCCACTCTGTCTGGCCAAGCGTGTGTAAATCTTGATTATTAATAGTTGACCACTTTATAAAAAGTAGGTTTAAGATATTTTAGTTTACTTCATTGTTTTGTTTTTGAGACAGGGTCTTGCTCTGTCACTCAGGTTGGAGTGCAGTGGCACAATCACAGCTCACCGCAGGCAGCCTCTACCTCCTGGGCTCAAGCAGTCTTCCCACCTCAGCCCCCCAAGTAGCTGGGACTGCAGGTGCATGCTACCATGCTCCACTGATTTTTATATTTTTTGTAGAGACAGGGTTTCTCCATGTTTCCCAGGCTGGTCCTGAACTCCTGAGCTCAAGTGATTTGCCTGCCTCGGCCTCTCAGAGTGTGGAATTACAGGCGCGAGCCACTGCGCCCGGCCTGCTTCATTGTTTTGATGTGTTTGATGTGAACTGAGACTTTTTCTTTTAATGTCCTCACTTAGATTTATTAGCAGTATGTCTCAGAGGAACCACAGTTTTCATATCTCTTATTTCCTTTCCTTTTTTTTTTAAACCTGTAATACCCATTTTCTTGGCATGAACAGAGATTTATCACAGTTATATGGGATGCCATCCAATGAAGCAATTTTTTTTTTTTTTGAGACGGAGTTTTGCTCTTGTTTCCCAGGCTGGAGTGCGGTGGCATGATCTTGGCTCACCACAACCTCTGCCTCCCGGGTTCAAGCGATTCTCCTGCCCCAGCCTCTCAAGTAGCTGGGATTATAGGCATGCGCCACTGCACCAACCTAATTTTGTATTTTCAGTAGTGACGGGGTTTCTCCATGGTGGTCAGGCTGGTCTCCAACTCCCGACCTTAGGTGATTTGCCCACCTCGGCCTCCCAAAGTGCTGGGATTACAGGTGTGAGCCACCATGCCTGGCCTGAAGCAATTGTTATAATTATCCAATAAATAAACTGTTGGTGACAGTGGTTTTCCAATGTCCTTGACTTTTCAGACAGTTTGTTTTTGTATTTTGTGTTTTGCAAATAATTTGAGCAGGCCATATTTCATTTTATGCTGTGGTTATTCTTGCACAGAAGGGAAGAAATGATGGGCTTGATTTTTTAAAGACTGTTCAGATCTGGAGGTTTTGGTAAGATTGTGTTTTCTTATTGTTGTCGGCTTAATTTCCTGCTTGAAAGGGTGGTTCCCATATAGCATATGAATAAAAAGGATAATTTCAGTAGCAAAATTGCTTTTTCACAAAGGGTTTTAGCAAAACCCTTCCACATAGGAGGTGGGGGTGAGAGGGCAAATTGAAGACATCCCGTAGTAATCACCAAATTGAACTTCCAGCTTGAAATCCACTTTACGAGGAATGAAGTAGTGCCAAGCTTCCCAGCTCCAGGCAAACTGTGACCAGTGCCTGGTAGACTCCTCTGAGAAACACAGACCTATTAACAGACCCATGTTCATAGCCCTTATTTCCCCATCTGATGCATGCTGTACCTTCCCTAAAAAAGTCCTATTTGAAAAAAAAAATCGTCTTTAGTGGCCTCTGCCTGGAAGCCAGTGCAGCTCTGCAAAACCAGTCCCAGTCCTTAAGCGGATGAGTCGCTGTGATGGGGGCTCCTGCTTGTTTTCCGTGTTTACAGCTGACAGCTGTGTTCCCTTAGCTCCTCTCAGTACATGCTGCGTGTGCCTGAGAGGAGACAGAGAGAAATTAAGTAGAGGTTAAGGATCAAACCACTCATCTCAGACACTTTTCTGATCTGAAGGGAAATGCTCTTGTATCTTTTTTTTACTTTTGCTGCGGGTCAGTTGAAGTTGAAATCCGTTAACAAACACTGGGCAATGATGTCATTCCTGAATAGTTAATGATTTCCTGTGGCCCCTGGGCATGTGGGGACTGCAGTCTTCTTCTTTGCTTCTTAGGAGGAATGTGTGTGTGGTGGTGTTTTTTTTTTTTTTTTTTTTTTTGAGATGGAGGCTTGCTCTGCTGCCCAGGCTGGAGTACGGTGGTGCAATTTCAGCTCACTGCAACCTCTGCCTCTTGGGTTCAAGGGATTCTCCTGCCTCAGCCTCCTGAGTAGCTGGGATTACAGGTGCTCGCCACCACGCCCGGCTGAGGAATGTGTTTTTTAAACAGTGAATCCTCTGGTATGTCTGTGGTCCTTGTAATACATGCAACTTTAAGAATATCTGATTGCAGGCGTTTGACTTTTTGACCAACATCATGATAAGAGATCTACAGTGAACATTAATTTTCTGGACTAGTCAGTCTTTCTAGATTCTGATGAAAATATTTCAGTCTTTGTAAAGACTCTTTAGCATAAAATGAATTTCCGTTCCTTGTCAACTAACTTTTTGGTTTTAATCTGAATCTAATCAGAGAAATGCATTTGGAGAAGTATTAATAGTTTTGACTTTGGGAAGCATGGTGACTTTTTGTCATTAAATAAAAAGAGAATAATGTACTTCCATTTGTTTTCCAATGTCTTCCTCCTGTTTTGTCTAAATTTCATGACTTGTATTAGAGTCTGGCATTTTCTTTTTCTTTCCTTGGCTCTCCTTTTCCTCTAAGACAATTTTTTGGTTTAGCAATGTTGATTTTCTTTTTTTCTATGATCCTTTCCAGGATATTACAGAGCTTGCTCCAGAGGATATAATTTCTAGATGATAACTCTTTATTTTAAGGTTCAAAGACTAAATTTACCTTCAAGTTATGGTTAATTTCTCTTTCTCGAGCTCACGAAGGCTCGACATAGAACAAAGACAATGAACTTTCTAGCTCCTGGTAGAAGTGGAAAGAGCTTTGAGAGGTCATGTTGGTGCCGACCGCTGCCTTTAAACAATGTCCTGGGCCAACCAGATAGGAGAGGTGAGGCCAGGCCCCTAGTGCTGATTGAGTGACTCGTGTCTGGTCGAGGGCATGCCACATGCCAATCCTGTTGTCGACTTGTTTCCATAGGGTCCCCAGGGCTTCCTTAGGGTCCTCAGAGTGAGATGCTGCACCAGAGGCAAGCTGCAGGCATTGCCCAAGGATGAGGAAATTGTCCTTTAGATTCAGCCACATTCAAACTTAATTTATTCAACTCTTCAAAAGGGTTAGTGATACGTTTTCTTCTATAATGACTAGACCGCCATTTTCCTGTGCTGGACTGTGCCCTCCCCGAGTTTGGGACCTGTGTTTTGCCTGCATTTGCTTGTTCCCTGGGTGGATGTCTCTTTTTTTGGAGCAAGTTGGTTGACTACGTGGAGGCCACTTGCAAGCCGTGCCAGGGAGAAGTTAATTCTGTAACAGCTGTGAGTCTTTCTCCTCCCAGCCTCATCCCCTCTTCGCTGTGTCCCCAGAGCAGCCAGGTAATGGTTCTGTTCTGTTCTCTCACTCTCCGGTGCAAAACCTCTGCCGGGACATCCTCTCTCCTTCATGCTGAACTCTTGTCTTGCAGCAGGGTTTGTGGTGTGACCCCTGCTTGTCTTAGGGCCCTTCCAGTTTCTGAGCTCATGGAGGACAGAGATTGGGTCTAATCTCTTTCTGTATTTGTGGTGCCCAGTGTGGTCTCTGGCACATGGTGTGTGGGCTCACTTTGTTGAAGAAATAGTGCATGCCAAAAATCATGGGGAGGAAGACCGTAGGTTTTCATTTTGCTTAGGAATGCCATTAGAAGAGGAATCGACTGTCTATGAACATGAAATAAAGACACACAACTCCTTGCCTTTCATGCCTACTGCTTGGCCCTTCCTCCTTCTGCCTCCCATAGAAAACCTTTCTGCTGTGTTTGAAGTGGCCTCTCGTTTGCCTGTGTTCTTGTGCTGTTTGGTGTGCATCTGTTTTTAACAGATGTAAGTGTGTGGTTATAGTCTTGTTCTGTTTGTTATTTTCCCTGGTGCTCCATTTAAATTGTACTCTGTTCTCTGTGTCCCTTTAGTCCATGGCTCTAACTGCATTGTGTGCACATTTCATGTTTTACTAACTGCCTGCCTCACCAGGTGTGAGCACTTAGGCTGTCCCCGCTTCCCACCACCCAAGACCAAGCTGCCCTGAGCATCCCGTGTCCGTCTCACCCTGCAGGGCACACAGATGTCTTTGGGCTGCGTTCTCAGGAGGGGGTTGCTGGGTCTCGGGAGTGGAGATGTAGACTTTGGATAAGCAGGGCCTGTGCTCCCAGGCTGGTGGCCGCAGTGGACACTGCCGCCCACGGTGACCAGGGGCTTCCTGCATCTTGCAGTGTTCTGCCTTCTACCACGCTTAACTGTGCACTTTTCATTTCTCCGATTATTATTAAACTGAAGCATCTCTTCATACATGTGGAAGTCTTATGGGTTTCTTCTGTACATAGTTTATAAATTTGCTCATTTTCTTTCTTTTTTTTTGAGACAGAGTCTTGCCCTATTACCCATGCTGGAGTGCAGTGGCACAATATCAGCTCACTGCAACCTCTGCCTCCCTGGTTCAAGTGATCCTCCTGCCTCAGCCTCCTGAGTACCTAGGATTACAGGCATGCGCCACCACGCCCAGCCAATTTTTGTATTTTTAGTAGAGACGGGGTTTTGCCATGTTGGCCAGGCTGGTCTTGGAACTCCGGATCTCAAGTGATCTGCCCACTTCGGCCGCCCAAAATGCCAGGATCACAGGAGTGAGCCACCACTCCCGGCCTCATTTTCTTACTGTACTTAGTCGCTGTCTTTTTTTGTCTCTGTATTATTTCCTTATATATTCTAAGACGTTAATCTTTGTCAGTTTCAGAAAAGAAAGGACATGTTAATGTTGAAAATGCAGGAAGACTATAATAGGATAAAGGACAGTTGTTGAAATTGAGTACACAGCTTCGCATAACTCATTCAACTGACCTTTCTTTTTCCTTCTTGATATACGAGCACTGCATCATAGATGGGCGCTGATACTGGGCCAGCTTATCAGTACCACTGAACTTGACAATATGGCTATCAGGAGATAATCCTTCAAATGTGTGGCTGAAATCTAGGCATTTTGTATCTGAGGTTCCCCCTAATCAGTCTGTTGAGTCTCC